ACTCAATTTGCACTATTTCTGGCAGTCTGCAAAGGCCCTTAGTGTTTTTGTATTTGTGTCTTTTCCACATTCATGGGGGTCCTGTGCCCCTAACCCAAGCAAATGTGGAGGGGCAAGAGTATTTCTGCAGCGCAGACTGGATCTTAGCAATTTATTGAATCTGAAGAAACAATGGAGAGCTCTCAGGACAAGCTCTGCTGTTCAGCAAATGAGACTCATAACCACTTTCACACAGTGATAACCGCTGTGTGAGGACAGATGGGAGACCTGGCCACCCTAAACATCGCTCTGGCTTCCTTTCCTAGAACTGGCTATTAATTTTACCAGCATCTGCTTGCCTAGTCTATATTCATATTTATTTCCTGGTGGGTGTATTTAGTATTGTATTTAGAATTATCACACATCAGTTACTTTTTCATTTCATATGCTAGATATCTTCTTTGTATTCAAACCATATCTAACTCAGTTGTAAAAAGTCAACAAAAGGTTATTAAATTAGCTGTATTTTTAACTGCCTCGGATGGGGTGAGATGCTTGTTTTCTGCCTCAGGCCCCTGAATTTCTGCCTCAGCCCTCAAAACAACTAGGCTGGTTTTAAGCATTATGGACCTTATCTTACGGGGGGTGGGCTGCATTTACATTTATATTTTGCTGTCTCAGGTAGAAAAATGTCTCAGGGCTGACCTTAGGAGCTCTGTTGAGTCAGACCAAAGGCTTAGAATCATAGAATCATAGAGTCGGAAGAGACCACAAGGACTATCCAGTTCAACCCCCTGCCATGCAGGAAATCTGCTTAGTCCAGCATTTTGTTGCTGCCACCAAAATACTGGTGTAGTGGTTTGACCGCTGGACTAGAGTTCAAATCCCACCTTGACCATGTAAATCAGGGGTAGGCAACCTTTTTGAGCTGGGGGCTGGGTTGCTATCCCTCAGACAATTGGGGGGCCGAAGCACCAAATATATATATATATATATTTTTAAAAATTAAAAAAAAATTTAAAAATATGCATTCTCTCAGCCCCAGAAAAGCCCCAGAAAAGCCATGGCAAAGCCAAGAAAACCCCAAGAACAAGTAATAACAACAATAATCAATATTATCATGGCGGGCGGCGGCAGGACTGGCCTGGGCCTTAAGTTGCCTACCCTTGATGTAAATCCACTGGGTGACTTTGGGTGACTTTGGGCAAGTCACACTCTCTCAGCCTCAAAGAAAGGCAATGGCAAACTCTCTCTGAACAAATCTTGCCAAGAAAAACCCATGATAGGGCTACCTAAGGATTGCTATAAGTCAGATACAACTTGAAGGCAAACAACAACAACAACAACAACAACAACAACATAATAATAATAATAATAATAATAATCATAATGAGGAGATGAGAGAGTGGGAAACCATTATGTCCAGAATATATAATTGTTTAACTGCACTACTGTAGATATCATAGTTAATGTCCCTGTTGACAGAGCCATGAATTTATCTAACCTTTTAATGCTCGCTGAGCTAGTGGTTGCTTATCACCACCTCTTGTGAAACAAATGCCATCATCCCTTTATCATACCGGTACTTTTTGCTAAGAAGTGCTCCTTTACACTAGGAACCTACTGACCACATGCTTTACTGAATGATTTTGCATCCTAAGATAATGAGAGAAGGAGAGAAGAAAAGTCTGTCTGCTTTCCTCACACTCTGTACCTCTGAACATATACAAAATAAATGGTCCACACTAGAAATCTCATGAGAGCCAGTGTGGTATTGTCGTTTGAGTTGGACTGGACTCTGGAGACCAGGCTTCAATTCCCAGTTTGGCCATGAAACCCACTGGATGACCTTGGGCAAGTCACATACTCTCAGCCGCAGGGGAAGGTAATGGCAGACCTCTGGACTCTTCATAGGTTCTTCTAAAGGTCAGGGTAGAGATTTTTTTACAGTTTTCTCTGTAACTAGTGGATAGAAACTTGATTTTTTAGGAACAAGAAACTTAGGTTTCTGATGATTAGAAACTTTTAAAAATGAAATTAAAATTGAAACTCACAGGGTGCTTAGCTTTGAGCAGACAGAAGCACTTGCATGGATGCATAGGGGAGAAAAAGACTGGTTTTTGACCTTCAAACTCAATCGCTGGAATCCAGCCCTGTTAAGTGCCAACTGAGATGGATGCCTGCTAGATGCCAACTGTGTGTCCCTTCTGCTGGTACGATCTTTGGAAAGTCTCTAGTGCTCAACAGTCCAGCAGTGATTGCCTTTGATAGTCAAAGAAGCGCTTGGGTTTGGATTTGGGCCATGTCAGAGAACAGCTTGTTCCAAGGATACAGGAACTTGCAAAGACAGCAGCAACAAAAAGTGACAGCTTGAGGCGCTTCCTACTCTTGTGGCTGGGCTTACAACAGCAGGGGAAGAGTT